GCATGGTGAGAAGATATACGTGTGGTATTGATAGTGCAAAGAAGAATGTTATAACTCTAGTATAAACAATATGCTGTGAACACAGGGGGAGATATTAATTCTGCGGGGAGAACTGGCAAGAAGTTCCTTGAAGAAATGGTATGCATATGGGCCTTCGGTATGTGGGTATGATTGTGACAGGTGAATACACCAAAAATAAATTCCAAGAGAAATAGCCTTTAATTTAATCATCAAACATTTGTTCACTGCCCATAATAATGCCGGCACTATGCCAGGTACAAGGACAAAAAGCAGAGAGGTGGCCTAGTATATACATATTGTGCTTAGAAATGTCAAGTAAATCGGGACGCCTGGGTGGCTCAGTTGGTTAAACGACTGCCTTCGGCTCAGGTCATGATCCTGGAGTCCCGGGATCGAGTCCCGCATTGGGCTCCCTGCTCGGCAGGGAGTCTGCTTCTCCCTCTGACCCTCCCCTCTCTCATGCTCTCTCTATCTCATTCTCTCTCTCAAATAAATAAATAAAATCTAAAAAAAAAAAAAAACGTCAAGTAAATCACTGCAACTTTTGTGTGTGCACACTTGTGTGTGTATATGTGCACGTACATGCATACATTTTCATGCGGGTGTGTGTGTGTGTGTGTGTGTGTGTGTGTGTAGTGGGTATGGGGATCTGGGAGTGCTGGAAGGGGGACTGTAGCCAGATCATGGAGGGTCTAGAATGCCTTAACTTATTTAGGGGAGCGAGCACAGGTCTGCCCTCAAATCCTGGCTCTGTTTCTCACTGTGAGACTTCAGGCAAGTTACCTAATCTTTCTGTCCCTGGGTTTTCCTAGTTGGTAAAATGGGCATACAAGCACTATCCTGAACAGTTGTGACGATAGTCAGAATGTCTGCAAATCATCATTATGGTTTCTGACTTTCAGTGGCCACTCAATAAACAGCAGGTATTACTTCTTCTGTGGTCTGTAGGGAATGACTGGCAGTTTGGGCAAGAAAAGCAGCTGAAATGGATTTGGGTTTTCAAAGAAGTTGTGATAGAGGCCATGATTGGAAGAATGGGTGGGGGTGAAGGGGTGGGTGGGGTGAGGTGTGGTGATTGAGTCTGAGCTCTGGGAGACCAGGGAGGAGGCTGAAACAATGGTCTAGGCAAGAGATGAGGACCCAAACGAAGACACTGGGATAGAATGGACAGAAGCTATAAAACTATTCAGGGGGCAAAATGAGCTTGCTGACTAACTGGATGTAAGAGGTGAGGGAAGGAGAAAACTCTGGAATGATGACAGGCTTTCTAGTTATCCAGCAGTTCCACTAACCTGGACCTGTGGTACAGGAAGGGGGCAAGCTGAAGGAGGGGGGTTGGGGGACAGGTAGTGGTGGGGGAGGGGAGGAATGGGGGGTATACTGAGGGACCAGAACCTCTTAGGAAGCCCGGTGTTAGAGAAAACAAGAATGCCTCATTGTTCTGTGAATGTGGGAGAAACGCGGCAAGCAGCCTCCACATCGTGAACAAGTGAATTTCAGAATCTCTAGGGTGGGTCTGGCAATTGTGACTTCCACTGCTGAAGGATTTTTTTCTAACTTGTGTCCCATGCAGTTGACTTTCTCCTTCTAAGGCATCCCTTCTCAGTGCAGACCTAGAGATCATCTTCAGAACTCTCCCAAAGGCCAACTCCATGGGTTCCAGTCCTCCTGCTTAACCTCCTCCACCACAGTTTCCCAGAGAACCTACTCAGCCTCTTCAGGTCTAATCCTGAATTGTTTTCAAGTACAGTTGTATTTAGTGCAAAGTTCATCCTTGAGGTCATTTCCTGACATTCTAGCCAAATGTGTCAGGTGGTTTCCCACAGGTGAGAAGACACAACAACAACAGGAAAACAAAATTCCTTGCTCTGGCCTCTCTTTTCATACACTTCTGTGAACATAAAACGGGTATCACTTATCATACATGGAAGATAACCCATCAGACAATATGATAAAAATGTTCAGTGTTATTCAGTTCAGAGATGGGCAATAGCTTGCCTCAAGCCCTGGCCCTCAGGCCTTGCTCTTTCCTCCTTCCAGAGGCTGATTATTAGCAAGCACCAGCACCAAACTGGGACCTTCCTAATATCATCCAGGGGCTTGGGGAAAATTGGAAAAGCAATAGCTTTCTCAGTCTATAGGTCTGTTGTTACACTCTGAGTCCCTGTCCTGCTAGAGTCAGTGTGGGTACCAGCAGGCCCTTGTCCCATGTTAGGAAGCCCTAACTCCACTGCAGTCAGTCATTTTTTTGTGTCCCTGCTAGATTGGGAGTTCCTTGATGACAAGAGCTTACTCGTGGTGACTTCAGCAGCATATGCGATGGTTGGACACAGCTGATAGTTCATAAAGGAACAAAGTGATAGTAAATGAAAACCTTTAGGTGTAAAAGACTTAGGACAAATTCTTTACTGGAGAATGGGGTGGCCAGGGAAGACAGTGCTGGAGGGCCTGGGAGTCAAAAGGGAGTCTGGTGAAGAGTCTGAGAGGAGGGGGGCTACAGACATCCAAGATGAACTACACTGACATCCTAATAGCGTTGCCTGATGACGTCTCTGTTGATGGCACAGTAGAGTGACAAGAGTGTATGTTCGAGAATCAGACAATTCTAGGGTTAATCCAGACTCTCACTGTTTACTGATTACATGAACTATGACCATATTATTTTGGGGGAACCTTAATTACCTTGCTGTATAGTGGTGATAATACCTCCCCTACAAAGGCTCTTACCATCTTTTGGGATAGAGGGCAGGATTTAGGAGACCAGCAGCGAATAAAGACTTTGCTATCAGAGGATATCATCCTATCTATTTCTCTATCATCAATCATATTAGTCTCAGTAAGTGTTCAAGGTTATTGCTGTTGTTCTTGTTGTATTGGTAGTAGAATCCCCAGCACTCATTATGGTCGCTAGCATGCTGTAAGCACTCAACAGACGTTTATTGGTTGAAAGAGTTACGCTGACCTGTGTGAGCTTTCTACAGGAAACTATTCCTCCTCCAGTTTTCCCTGATTATATGTCACCACCATCTCCTAGATGTTTAAGTCAAAACTCTTGATTCCTTGATTTGGAGTGCCTACTAGGACTAGGCACTGTGCAGGGTGGTGGGATGGGGAAGGTAAGGGAAGCTTGAAAGGATGTTAGAGAAAAAAGGAAGCCAAAGAACTTGTCATTTGCTCAATTTTTTACTTTTTTTAGATGTAGCTTATAAGTGAAGCCTTAATGTTTTTTACAACACCTGGGCAAACATGTAGAAATACTTATAATCCACAGCCATCTGAATCGAGAAAGACTATCAATACTGTGCATAGGTTCCCTGGGAATAGGATATGCAAATGCCCTACTTTGGAATTCTCACCATCCGTGAAGACTAGGAAGAAACATTATTTATTTATTTTTTTTATTAAAAATTTTTTTTTGGGAGGGATACTATTTATTTTAAATCCTACTGGGATTCTCTACTCTGGTCCAGCCTCCAGGAGAGGTAAATGACTGGAAAGAAGAATTATAAAGGCACATGAAAAGTGACTCTTGGCTAAATCTTCTGGGAAACCAACTTACAGCTGAGTGAGCTTGCTTATATCCACTGAGTGTGGGCTGTACTTTCTATATCTATCTCTCTCTATAAAAAAATGGCTTCAGAAAAATTCAGTTAGTCTTTGGCTTAGTTGTAAGTCACTAGGCCCCTCATTTTAGAGAGAGAGAGAGAGAGAGATAGAGAGAGAGAGAGTGTGTGTGTGTGTGTGTGTGTGTGTGTGGTGGAGCGAGAATTTTGGGCAAAAGCGTGTACGTACTTGTAAAAAAGCATTTGGAATGTGTGTGTAGGAAGGGAACTTTATGGTTCTTTATGTAAGGAGAGAGTACGTGGAGGGGAAGATGTATTTGTGTGTGTGTGTGAGTGTATGTTGTGCAGGTGGTGGGCTGAAGTACATGAGCAGTCAGCCTCTTAGAGATCCAGACAGTGGTGTAAGATACAAAATGTCGTAGATGGAGATTGTTTTCGTTTCAGACCAGCACACGGGTCTTTGAGAAGCCCTTGACTTTCTCCTCCTCCTTGTCTTGTTAAAGAGGGATTAGAGTCCAATTAAGTCCTTTAATCCCAAGGTAGAGATTCATGTTTTAAAACAGGATTTACAGCTTCAAAAAAAATACATCAGTGCAAGTTGAAGTTTGTCTTTTCAAGTTGCCACCTGCATGGTTCCAAAGAGTGTTTTCAACAGAATTCCCAACATGCAGTTGTTCTTAATTACTTTGCCTCATACCTCCAGTCCTTCATCTTTCAAAGCATCCTTCAACCTAAATAGCCACATGCTGTTAGAAGTACTTCTGCTTCTGGATTGCCACAATCGCCACTTGGCTTATCTCCCTTCAGTTGGCAATTCAGTGTTCGGGCTTAATAATAATAGTATTAAGAGCTAGTGCTCATTGGGTGTTCAGTTATGTGCCAGGCATTGTGCTAAGCACTTTGCATGTATTATTTTATTTCACTTTTCACTGCAGATTATGGAGCCAGTCCTGAAAACACCTAGTAACCCAGTTTCCCTTTTTCTCTTTTCCTTCCTTTCCACATGATGCCACAGGACGGGAGAGTGAAGCTCTAATCGTGATGCCAAAACCCACTCTGGAAAGTGGGTGCCGTATTTGGAGGGAAGTTCTTTCAGGGACAGGAACCATGTCATGGCTTTTGGCATGGGAAAGCAAAGTATCTGTGAGGATCTGGCAACTTGTTTAACTCTTCTTGGCCTCAGTTTTCTCACCTGTGAAATGGGGATAACAGTAATAATACCTAACTCAAGAGGCTGTTTCAAGGACAACAGGAGATCATGTGTCTACAGCTCCGACACATAATACACACGGCAGTAGTTACTCTTAATGCATTATGGATGCTCAGCAAGTACCAGATATCCAATATTGCTTGTGACATGGTGTGTATGACCTGCCTAATACCAAGGTACCCTTATCCCAGTGGTCTGTTTCCTACCTGCCCCACAGAGCTGGGAGGAACATCTGCTTTCTCCATGTGCTGGGTGATCACAGAGGGGTTGCTGGAGCTGATGAGCACTGGGGTGCTGATCTCCACCATATGGCGCCCCGAGGGAGAATGGACCATCCTGTTGAGAGTGTTCAAGGCTGTTGTGATGGAGAACTGGCCAGGCCCCTTCCTCCTGGGCCCAGGGCCCCTTCGCAGGGTGGGCATGTTGGTTGCTTTGCCTTGGGAGGATGAGGGCACCAGTGACAGGCTCTTCGTGCGGGCTGACTGCCGGCCTTTGTTCTTCTCTAGAAGGTGTCTTGCAGTGAGGTTTGGCTGAAAACACAGAAGGTCCATGAGAAGCTAGTCTTCCTGATCTAGTGTGAGCAGCTAAGTCCTACCCAGGTTAGTCTGACACCAATTCAGATGCTACCATCATCTTTGGTCAAATTCCACCTTTTAGCAATACATCCCAGCTACTTTGCTCTATCAGTATACTCTGACAACTCTCTTGCAAAGTAGGTACTGCTCTTATTCTTCACTGTGGGCCACAGGGGTTAAAAATAAGCCATGATACTCTTCCCCGATTGGGAGCAGTCTTCCTTCACCCATTTCTCCCAGGCACACCCCTACCCTTTTCCTCTTTTAGCCACTCCTGAATGCACCTGGGTGGGCTGCAGCCCCTGTGCTCTCCCACTGTGGCACTTTACACACCACACTGCAATCATTTCCCTTTTGTTCCCCCACCCCCACCCCCGGACTGGCAGCTACCTGAGGGCAGTGAGCTCACACATGTCCATCTCTGCCATATCCCACAGGGGATGCTCAGTGAGTGTTTGTGCAATCATGTGTGCATGAAGTTGCTCAGGTTTATACATTTGAGAAGCAACTGCACCAGAATGTAAATCTGTTCTTCAGAACTTTGAATCTTTATGCTAAGACCATCTTTTACTACTTCCTTTAAACACTTTCATCTCCCCACCATTCTTTCTTATTCCATACCTCTTAGTCTGTGATATGCTGGTAAATCAGGAGAAGAGAAGAGAAGAGAAAAGAGAAGAGAAGAGAAGAGAAGAGAAGAGAAGAGAAGAGAAGAGAAGAGAGGAGAGGAGAGGAGAGGAGAAGAGAGGAGAGGAGAGGAGAAGAGAGGAGAGAAAAAAAAGAGCATGCCCTGTTTTGTAGAGTTTAGTAATTTCAATGGTATAAATATATACCAATGGTTTACAACTAGCTAGCAAAATTCCTGAAAATGTAAAAGCCAGCTCTTGCAATCTAGTTCTAGCTCTAGCACAACCACTGACTGTGCTATATTTTGAGTTCAGTTCCTTCGGAAGGCTGAGATACGCTGACAAAGTTGCCCTCCCAAGCCACGTCTCATTCTAATGTAGAGATTCAACTATAAAGGTAAAAGGGAGTTTGCCCATTTAAGAACTTTTTATGACAGTGTGCAAATGATTAAAATAGCCAATATAGAGAATTTTAAAGAGGAGGTAGTTCCTACCTCAAGAAGCTTATTACTGTGAAAAAGAAAATCATCAGGTAGGGGAAGTGGCATTATTATGTCTACTTTAAAGATGAGAGAGCTGTGGCCCAGAAGGGGTGATTTATAAATGGCACAGCCAGTAAACAGACAACAAAACAAGAAAATATCCGATAGAAATAAGTTCTTTGACATGATAGAGAATGGCAGGGTGAGGTGCCTACTTTGGAGGGGAGGTCAAGGAAATCCCACCGAGAAGGTGACATTTAACCAAGACACAGATGACAAGAAGGAGCCAGCCATGTGAAGATGGGGGTAAGAATATTCCAGACAGAGGGATCATAACCTAGTGGGAAGATCCTAAAGATGGAAAAACAGTCTGAGAAAAAGTCAAGAAAGAAACAGAAGCTGGACCAGAGAGAGTGAGGAGCAGGTGGTAAAGAGACCACAGAGACAGGCAGGGGCTGGGTCCCAAAAGTCCTCGGAGGCTCAAGTTTATTCGAAGTGTAATAGGAAGCCTCTGGCAGCATTAGGTTGAGGAGTGACACGATCTGATTTATGCTTTTAAAAGCTCATGCTACGGTTTGGCAGTTTCTTACCAAGTTAAACCCATACTTAGCATCTGACCCAGTCATCCCACTCCTATGTAATTACTGAAGAGACAGGAAAACTTATGCCCACTCAAAAATCGGTATGCAAATGTTTATAGTACTTTACTCATAGTTGCTAACAACTGGAAATGACTGCATTGTCTTTCAACTGGTGCATGGACAAACTCTGGCACATCCATACAGTGGAATCCGGCTCATCAATATAAAGGGACAAACTATAGACCCACCCAACAACATGGATGAGTCCAAAATGCTTTGTGCTAAGTGAAAGGAGCCAGACTTAAAGGCTACATTCTGTATGATTCCACTGATAGGACATTCTGGAAAAGGAAAATTATAGGACCAGAAACCAGATCAGCGGTTGCCAACAGTTGGGAATCAGGGAAGGGGCTGACAACAGAGTCAGCATGCTGTTGTATTTTGGTGGTGGTGGGGTGGTGTTGGAACTATTCCATCTTGATGGGAGTGTATGCATTTACCAAAATGTATAGAAGTGGACACCAAAAAAGAGTAAATTTTACTGTTTGCAAATAAAAAGAAACACATAAAAGCTCATTCTGGCTGTTATTCAGAAGTGCCAGCCCAGAAGTAGGGAGACCAGCTAGGAAGTTCCAGAAATTGTCTAGGCAAACTCTGATGGCAGTCTGGACTAGGGACAATGTCTTAAGTTCCCCAGCACACCGATCCCTCCATTGTTCACCCAGTAAGAGGACAATATATATTCTTTGAGTTGAATGAGTAGAGTTCTTTACGGTCATTCACAGCTACAGCGAAATAGGTTGATTTTTTTTTTTTGCCTCTACCTAATTGTTCTGTCCCCAGGTGAGCAACACCAGTGTTTTCATAAGCAACATTGACAAAGGGCTCTGTGTGACTCTTGGTCTGCCCTGTGCTCTGCCAACATGATTAATAGCTCAGTTGGGGGAGGATTACACAGCTTTTAAATTTATACCCACTCATTTGAAACAATATCCTTGAGGTTCACTGGGTTGAGCAAGGTTCACATAACCCAGGCAGGCCTCATTGGAGAAGTCCTGACAGGAATGGGTATAAGCTCAGTATTTGTTTTACCATCTTTTTATCCAGGTGCTATTCAATAAATCAAATGATACATTAACAAGAAAAATCCTGTTTATGCAGAAAAGAAAACCACAACAAAAACCCAAGTCACTCTTACAAGAAAGCTTTCCTTCTTTCCAATTGCTTTGCATGGCACTGGTAATTCAAAACTTATTTAAAGAGTTCTCAGCAAGTGCTAGTCTTAATGAAATGACTGGAGTCAAAATTTAAGTACTGCTTTAAAAAGCTCAATTTAGATTTCAAGTAATTTTTGAAAATCAGGTTCCCAGATTACAGCAACCACTTGATTATCTTTTTCCCCTCCTAGCAATTAGGAGAACAAATGAAGCAATGGCTAGTTTGATGATAATCTTGAGGGTTCTTGTAATCACTAATTTTAGAGGTGAAGTGGTGGGGAGAGTGTCCAAATGAATAATCATTAAATGTAGAAGTTTTGGAAAAAAGGGTATCAGAGATGGGTAATAAAATCAATGGTCCTTTCCTCCTCAGAGCTATGGAGAAGCTTCTTGAAATAATGCAGGGGACCATGCAAACTCTAAAATGCAAAAATTGAACCACCTCCTATGTATTCAGCTAGGTATTAACTGTAGCTGATCTCTGTCCTTGGAGACTTAACCACTGTCTCCCCATCACTATTAACTGTTCCTTTTTAGCAGATGTTGCTTGACCCAGCAAATGCCTCCACCACTAACCTAGGCACATAAAGCAGAAAGTGAGGCATGCATTCTTGACCACTTCTTCTGTCCTGTTCCTCACTTCCATCAACCTCCAAGTCCTGTGGATCTACCTCCTAAATGGTGTTTGAATCTGTCCACTTGTTTCCAATCTCCTGGTCCAACCCACTGTCATCTTGTAACTGAGCCATGGGTGCACTGGCCTCCTAACTGGTATTTCTGCTTTTTCCTCTTCAAATTATTCTTCCCATTGTAGCCAGAAGAGCAGTCTTTAATAAACCCAGGTCTGATGGAGTTACTGAGTCTCTTAAAATCTTTCGATGGTGTCTACTGACTTCTGGATCAAGTCCAAACTTTTTATGATACGGCAGAGACCACGATATTTACTCGACAGTCCTTGTACTCCCCTGTACTTCTCAGCTGCCTTGAAGACAGGTGGAGCTAGGGGACTGGTTCAGGCCAGTGGGTGATGAGTGGAGTAACAAGTGTAACTTCTGAGCTGAGGCATTTACTGATGTACAACTCATTCTTCCTTACTCCTCCCTTGCCGTGAAAACTGGGGAAGTCCATGTGTTCCAGATGGCAACTACAAGATGGCTCAACCTCAGTGTGGGTTCTGGAGTGACTCTGTGAGCAGAGCCTCTCATGGTCCTGTGCCGAACATGTAATGTGGGTGAGAAGAAAGTTTATCTTTATTGAGCCATTGACAGTTTGGGGCTGTTTATTACCATACCATAACCGAGCTCATCCTGACTCGTATAGGATGATTTATAAAGCCCTCTGTGATCCGTCTCCCACTTACTTCCCTGGCTGCCTCATGTCATTCTCTTACTCTCTAAGCTCCAGCTCCAGGATTCTTTTGGACCTTTGGGTTCCCTACACTTCCTCATCCCGTAGGACTTTTGCACATGTTACCTTCATTCCCTAAAGCACGCTTCCCTCCATGCTCACCTACATAGCTCCTAATCATCTGTCTGATCTTTGCTTAAAAGGCATTTGCTGACCCCCTTCCCACAGAAGTTGCACATCATTCCCTCCCTCCCCCACTTAGTTCCCTCTCCTTCACTCTTTGCATCATTCATTACACTTAGAATTACTTGATTAATGTCTGACTTTACAATCCCTGAAAGTAGGAACCCACATCTCTCTGTATCTTTAGACCTTAGCCTAGGACCTGACTTAGCAGGTATGCAATGTAAAATTAGTTGAATGACTGAATATACATATATAGGACCGGGTCACACTGAATGGTTTGTTTTCTAAATTTTGTCTCTTTGTTCACTTGCTAAGCTAATTTTTTTTGCAGAGTACCTGTTCTGTATTAGTCTAGCCTGCGCAGTATAAGCAGCACAGCCATCAGGTGTTTGGAGAAGCCAGAGATAACTGAGTGGTCACCTAGTGGTGAAATTTTATGGAAGAAGCAGGTTTCTAGCTGAGCCTTGTAACCTGAGTGAGATTTGAACAGGTAAAGAGAATTGGGTATGTGTGCCTCAAAGGGGCCTCAGCAAGAGAAAAAGCACTGATAATTAGAATATTGTTTACTAGAGATCGTAAGGACACCAGCCTCTCGGGATTCATCCTCTTTCCTTCCCTTCCATTTTTCATCCCGTCAACATTGATTGAGTGGGAAGAGCTATGGAGAACCTTGCAAGCTGGAATAGGGTTCTGGGCACACCATTTGCTTCAGAACCTGTTTTGGCTCTTAAGAATGAAAGAATTGGTCCCTATATCTCCAACTACGCCTCTGTCTGTTTTCACCCTACCTTCCTAGAGGGTGGAAAGCATGCCTTTTACTGCATTCGTAGCTCCCCACTGCTCACTTTTAATGCTTTATGCCTGGTAAGCATCCAACTGATGCAGTTAAACAATGGAACCTCTCTTTTAAATTTGTAATGACTTGCCTCAAGCTAGGGTGAGGCTCGAGGATAAAGAGGTTAGGAACTCCAGGTTATAGTATTACATTTGAGAAGTAGGTAGACATAGTCTAGCATGTGGTCTTCCTTTGTTTTCTTTTTAAAGTAGCTTAAAAAAACTGAGAAGGAATATATCAATATGCTCATTTCCGAAGATTTATAAAATACAAGTTGCAGAAGAAAGTGAAAATTATCTAGAATTTCACCATCTGGTGATCACCACTGTTAATATTTTTGTACATATCCTTCCAGTCCTCTATCCATTTATATATACACACACATATTTATAAGTCTAGTTTCATACAGTTCCATTTATTTATTGTAGTAAAAAACACATGACATAAATTTACCCTAATAACCATTTTAAAGTATATGATTCAGTAGCGTTGAGTATATTCATATTGTTGTGAAACAGATCTTCAGGACTTTCTGACGTCCTAATCCAATACTCTATACCCATTAAACTTTATTTTATTTACCAAGAAATCATAAACCTTTTTTCATAATACCCAAATACTCAATGATATTGACTACTTTTCTTTAACATAAATTTTAATGGGTATATATTTTTTCATCACCCTAATTTTTAAAAATGAAATCCTTATTGTCAGATATTTAGATTATTTCTGGTTTTTCACCATTACACACAAGGCTTTGGTGAACACTCTGTACATATATCTTTGCATACTTGTTTGAATTTTTCTCTACAATAAACTCTCAGATGTGGAATTGCTGAATCAAAGGAGATGGAGGTTTTTAATGTTATTGATACGGGTTTATTTGAGTTTGGGCATGAGAAATTGCAAAATTTACACTCTCATTGGCAGAATAAAAAGGCCCATTTCCCCACACTCTTACCAGAACTGGGTGTTATCTTCTGGCATCTTTTCTTTGGAGACCTTAGTTAATTTTTGAAATAAGGCTCTTATCAAAAAGGTATTTTTCTCAGGCATCTCTGTGGCACGTGTGTATTTTGGAGTGAGCATGCATTTGATGTAGACTTGATACTCACATACCTCTACAAACAAGATCGGGAAGATGCCTACTTGATCCCCTAACTTGCCTTCTGCCCAATTCTCATCCACTCGGCTGATCACCGTGATGATATCACCCTGAAAGAGACAAAGTCTCAAGGTCACCATTTGCTCTTGGTTTTCAGGTGGTGAAAGCTTTCAGTGGAGATCAGTGTGGAATCCCAGATGGTGTAAGGTGCAAGAAATGTAACTCTTTCATAATTTAGTTACAAAATCTTCCTCTATAAAGGGCAGCATTTGGGCCACCAAGATGGCAAGAGGAGTAGAAATAATTTCGAGGACCACTGGAATCCAATTGAAAATTCCAAATTTTCAATCAGCAGCAGAATCTGGGCTTTAGTTTATATTAATCTGATGGAGAAATCAGTATGGGAGCCATAGGGAGAGAGATTTCTAGGTTAGCAGAAGGAAGAATAAATTTCATTCTAATTTTGAAGGTTTTTCAGAACCTATTCAACTTTAAATTTTTTTATTTTTACTTTTAAGTAATCTCTACATCCATTTGGGGCTTGGGCTCACAACCCCGAGATCAAGAGTCGCATGCTCCATCGACTGAGCCAGCCAGGCACCCTTATTCAATTTTTAATGGATCAGATATAAGGTGGCTTTTTATTCAAAATTTTCTTATTATAAAAGGTTATATGTAGATTTGTAGAGACATTAGGAAATACAGTAAAAAAACCTAACTCTACTACAAAATAGATATAACCATTGTTAACATCCCTGTTAGCACATTTCCCCCCAGATTCTTCTCTATGAAGATAAAACATATATATACGTACACACACACACGCAATGATTTCTTAAAAACTTGCTGAAAACAAACACACATACAATGAAGTTCATAAAGTTTGGATGTAAAGCTTGATGAATGTTAACACTAACTATTTCCATGAAACCCCCATCCAGATGAAGAGATAGAGAACATTTTCAGCACCCACAAGGCTCCTTTGTGCCCTTTCCCATCATCTAGCAAGAAGTAGCCACTGTTCTGACTCCTAGCATATGTATATGTATACATACATTCTGCCCATCCTTATATTTCATATAAAAGAAGTCATAGAGGACACACTGATTTTTCACCATATCAGGAATGCCTTTCCACTTCCATACCTGTTCATCAGTCCAAATCTGAATATCCATCCACTGATCGCTCTGACCTTCTGATCCATGCCTCTCAGGAATTTAGATGAATCCAAATCTAAGTTCATTATTGCATTATACCTTTTCTTAGCTTTCTCTACCCCATCACAATTTACAATGACACATTTATAGGTTATGATTTCTTTAATGCCTGTCTACCCCCATCAGACTATAAACTCCATGTGTTCAGGGCCTCTTTCTGCTCTGTTCATTTCTGTGTCCCCAGCACCCAATACAGTGGTTCCCATTTAGTAGTCATTCAGTAAATATTTCTCAGTGAATGTCTGTATGCATTAATAAGTGAATGTGTGAATAAACTGTACAATCTCAGATAGAAAGCACTAGGACAAGAGCAGCTTTTGGGAGGGAAGATCTTGGGTTTAATTTGGACATGCTGAGTTTAGGAAGACCATGAAATTTCCTAGTGTAGTCGCAGCCTTCCATAGCTTCCAGAATGGAGCAAATCCTCTCTTCTGGTTCCTTTGTCATAATTTCCCATTCATATGTGTCTGTTCCTTCCACTAGTCTGCCATCTCTGTGAAGGTAGGGACAATGATTCATCATTTTATCCCCAGTGGGCAGCTTGGCACATGGATGGGCTCATTGAATGAACGAGCAGGTGGAGTGAGTTTTTGCAAATTTTGCAAATTCCCCGAGAGGGACAAAAATGCAGACAATGCTTCCTACCTCTGCCTTCCTCCAGTGGTGTCCGCTGAGCTCAGTGTTTAATGCCTGGCAAAAAGTAAATACTCAATAAATATCTGTGGGATTAAACTGCCCTTCCTCTAAGTGTCGTTGAAGCACAGACTTTGCAGTTTGGGCCACAGAATGACCTTCCTCAAGGGCTCACTCTGAGGTGCCAAGACAATAATGATCAATATTTCAAAATATGGAGGACAGTGATATTATCTAGTTTGAGGCAATCTGAAATAAATCTCATTTCTGGTAGTGGTGGAATAAAAATGTTTTATAAAATAAAAGACCTTTCCTGAGCTACTGTACCAGAGCCACTTCTAGTATTTGATGTACTTATCATAAGCAGCAAAGAGTGAAAATCACCCCAACTTTGGCCTCTGTGGGAGAATTTGAATGTTAAGGAATAATAAATACTGAATACAGAGAATTAAAGTAGTCTAGACTTTAGTAAAAGTGTTGTTACTTGCACATGGTGAGGAATTATCTGATTAAAAAAAGGCAAAAAAATCTTAGGGTAATTAATGTGCTTGGAAAATATGTCTTGTAAGAGGTTATTTATATATAAAGATATAATTATCTTATTGTGTTTTTGGAGGGCTTTGAATACAATGTTTATAATAAAATAGAATGTTATAAAGAATAGAATTAGGGGCTCAGAACTTGGTCAGCAAGAATGCCTTTACAGATACATAAAGAGGTAAGAGCTGTATTTTGCCCAGCACACTGTCAAAATGTATTTGTAAATTTTTGTCCACTTATCTCTCTCTCCCACTACTCTGCCTGAGGGCAGGGACTGTGACTTGTTCATGCTGCATCCCCAGTGCCTGCAAAGAAGAGGTGCTCACAAGTGACTACAGAATGAATGAATGAATGAATGTGTGAATACTTATTTTTGTAATTGCAATAGGAAAGGTTTAAGGATTTTCATCAAACTCTCATTAGATTTCTCTGGCAACTTCATTTAGTTTTGAATTGTATACACACACATTACATATATGTGCACACATACATACATATAAACATGTATGTGAAAATATGTATACATTTTGAAAATCAGCAAGTATTACAAAACTCCAGGTTCGGGCGCCTGGGTGGCTCAGTTGGTTAAGCGACTGCCTTCGGCTCAGGTCATGATCCTGGAGTCCTGGGATCAAGTCCCGCATCGGGCTCCCTGCTCAGCGGGGAGTCTGCTTCTCCCTCTGACCCTCCTGACCCTCCCCCCTCTCATGTGCTCTCTCTCTCAGTCTCTCTCTCTCAAATAAATAAATAAAATCTTTAAAAAAAAAAAAAAGAAACTCCAGGTTCTGCCCAGTCTCTATGTAGTCACCCATGACCTCCATGGCTCCCCAGAATCTTACCTTGAGGAAGGTCAGGCAGTCCTGGTTCTCACTCTTGTCTTTGTGTCGTAGGTCGAAGTTGTAGAGCGCTCGGCAGAGTGGGGGTGGCTGGGGCAGCTGCTTGATAACTTCCACGGAGCTGGCTGGGAAGATCCCACTGACTCCATTGATTTCCCCCTGGTACCAGTTCTCATCCAGCTGTCTCCGGAGAAGGATGACATCTCCCTTATTAAACCTCAGGTCACCAGGATTCTGCCCTCGGTAGTTGTATAAGGCTTTTGCCCGAGGCACCTACAGCGGCACAGACCAATGAAATATGTCCTTAGTTTACAGGCTAGGGGGACAGAAGGTATAACATTAATAACTGATTACTGAGCACTTCCTATGTGCTGAAGTGTTGGATGTGGATCATCTTCTTTAACCTTTGAGATAGACATTCTTATTACCCCCTTTTCTAAGTAGGGCAACTGAGGCACAGAATGGGTTAGTACCTTGCCTAAGGGGACACAGCTGGGAAATGGCAGATATGGGGTCTGAACTCAGGCTACATGATTTCAGAGCCCCTGTTCTTTCTTTTTTTTTTTCTTATTAATACAGTATTTATTTGTCTTCCCTCTGTCAAACCCTGAGCCAACCAATTTCTCCAGGCTGCCTGGGGAGGTACAGGAAAAGGAACATACAGGGCAGACGAGACACTGGAGAAAGACTTATGGGAGGTGGAGATGGCTCCTTCACATGGCGAAGAGGATGAGAAAGGCCACCAGCAGGCACAAGAGCCCCATGTCCTCCGATAGGGCAAAGCCCAGAATGGCGCTGGAGAAGAGCTGTTGCTTCAGAGAGGAATTCCTGGCATAACCAATGCTGAGGATCCTAAACACAGTCCCAATTCCAGCCCCAGAGCCAGCCAGCCCTACCATGGCAGCCCCAGCCCCAATGAACTTGACTGCTGTGTCGATTCCCTTGAAATGGCGCAGGTTCTGGAGCTGCGGCTAGAAATAAGTTGAGGTCAGGGGACATGGGGCCCTGCCAAGCTGCTGAGGCTCTTATAAGGTACCTCATCTGTCAGTGTCTCCAGCGGTTTTAGCACCCCTGCAGACCGTGATCGGCTCAACAGCTGAGAGGTGCTCCTGACCAAGAAGGGGGTGGAGACGAGCTTTGCACTGGCGGACATTTTCAGGGGCTGAGGGGCTGTGGCAGGAGGGCTGCTCTCAGTGCAGAGAAGACAGAGAGGGGTGGGGGCCAGAGCCCCTGTTCTTAATCACTCTGCAGGGAACAGGATTTTGGACTTGACTCCACAACTATGTGAACTTACAGTGAGTCAGTGACTGTTTTTGGGGCCTGGATACTGATTGGGAATTCTGGCTCTACCTCTTTCCTCTCGTGTAACCATGGTCAAGTCATTTAATCTTTCACAAACCATATCCATTTATAAAATGAGGTAATAATAGAATATGTACTTCATTAGGGTAGTCACGAAGACTAAATATTTATAATGCATTTTTTAACAATTTTATTTATTTGAGAGAGACAGACAGAGAGAGAGAACACAAGCAGGGAGGAGGGGCAGAGGGAGAGGGAGAAGCAGACTCCCCGCTGAGCGGGGAGCCTGAGGTGGGGCTCGATCCCAGGACCCTGGGATCATGACCTGAGCCAAAGGCAGATGCTTAACCGATTGAGCCACCCAGGTGCCCTAAATATTTATAATGCATTTAGTATGTTGCTTGATACATAGTATGGGCTCAATAAATGGCATCTCTTATAGGATGGCTAGAACAAGGAAAGGCTAATGATATCAGTTCTATTTATTCCTCAGTGTTGATGGGAAGAAAATTGAGGTGAAAAGTCCCTGAAAATACAAAGTACTATACAAGGGGCACCTGGCTGGCTGAGTTGGAGAAGCATGCAACTCTTGATCTCAGGGTTGCGAGTTTAAGCCCCACACTGGGTGTAGAGATTACTAAAATTAATTAATTAACTAATTAATAAAAAGAAAGTGCTATATGAGAGTGATGCAACATAATTTGTCTTCAGCCTTCTCTAGAAAGTGTAAACGTCATGAGTGTTTGGATCATTAGGAAGCACTGAGACAAAGAATTAGTCAGAAATCAATCATCACTTTAAAACAGGTCAGCTAAATACTGTCATTTGTTAAATTAGTTGTCTCTCTAAATAATTGTTTCAGTCAAGTGAATTTTTTTTTTCTAATTGAAACTGGTTTCTACATGCAGAAACAGCCTCACTTTGGTCTTGCTTGGAGTCAGAATGGCAAACTGCAAGTTCTAATAACTTATGGTTACTAGCCCTTCAGTGTCACCTGGGATTGTATTGTATTTTGTGCTTTCCTCAGCAGTGGGGTGAAGTAGTCCCCTCTCTTGGGGGCAGTCTTGCTATTCATAAGGGGATGTAAGCAGGCAGTATTTCAGGTCTTTGAGAACCTTCTGAGTCTGCAGTATTCATTCAAGCAGTTCAGGGGTAGAGATAAGACCTGAGCAGTCCCTTGCTGATGGGATGTTAGAGCAGTGCTTTTCTGCTGGACCCTGGACACGGTAAGGAGGGCCCAGGGAGACAGAAAACCACAGGAACACACTCGTCCTCAGGAAACTAGTGGACAAGTGAGTGAAGACGTGTGTGCTAGGAGGGCTAGCACGGTGCTGTGGATATTACAGATGCAACTGGTTGAATAAATTGTGGAAAACCCTGCAGTCATTAAAATTGATGGTATTGATCTATAATTAATAACACTGACAATTACTCATGATATACACTAAGTATGACAAGAGATTAAAAACAGTTACGTTTTCATTATATGTGAAAACTAGGCTTTCACTGTAAATACATATGTATATTTTTACCTGGGGAAAATGCTGGATGGCTATACCAGCATTTTAAGAGTGGTTATTTCTAAGTGTTGATATTTTTAAATATTAAAAAAATGGTTTCCCTAAGTGCTTAGCCATGTTTTCGAACTTTTCTACAATGAAATAATTGTATCATCTATTAAAATTGGACAGTAGAGGGGAGCCTGGGCGGCTCAGTCGGTTAAGTGGCTGCCTTCGGCTCAGGTTATGATCCCAGGGTCCTGGGATCGAGCCCCACGTGGAGCTCTCTGCTCAAGCGAGGAGCCTGCTTCTTCTTCTTCTCCCTCTGCCTGCAGCTCCCCTTGCTTGTGTTCTCTTTCTCTGTCAAATAAATAAATAAAATTAAAAAAAAAAAACTGGACAGCACACAGGAATGCCTGGCTAGCTCAGTCAGCAGACCATCTGACTCTTGAGCTCTGGGTCAGGAGTTTGAGCCCCATGTTGGGTGTGCAGATTACTTAAAAAAATTTGAAAAAATAATTGGATAGTAGAAATAAAATGAATGAAACTGTAGAATGAGAAGTGAAAGGTATGAGAGCAATTTAGGAAGAAAATAAGTCAAACTGAGTAGGATCAGCAAACCATGTTGACTACCTTCTTGGAGAAGTTTCTCACCTGAGAAATAAGGAGGTAGAAGCAGAATGAAAGCACAGGATTTCCGAAGAATGAAATGAATCTGTTAGACTCTTAGGGTTGCGCAGATCCGGACACAGTAGTTGTCCCCTCCTTCTTCCAATTTTCCATTGTAATATAAATTACATTTTTGGGGTACATGGCCACCTAGAACACTGGTCACATTTTCCAGTCTCCCCGGGGCAGCTAAGTTTTGGCCAGTGGGGTATAAGCAACTTTTAGGATGTGTCGTTCCTGAGAGAGACTGATTTTCTCTTTCCTTTCCTGCAATTTGCTATGTGGAATGCAGACATGATTGCTGGAGTTTTAGCTGCCATCTTGAACAGTGAGGATGAAGGTCACACTGAAAAAGGGAAGGAAGTAGTCTGGGTTGCAGAGCTGCCAGACAATTCCCGGACTACTTTTACACTTCTAGACTTTTGTCTGGAAACTAAATAAACGTCCATCTTGCTTAAGGCCCTGTTATTTTGGATTTGTAAAAGTAAAGGAAAAGGAAGAATGAAAAAAATTTAAGAAAAAAAGAACTGAAGCCCCTTTAACTTTGCATTGTAATGATAATATTAATAGCTAAGATTAGTGACTGTTCCTTCCCCCATGCCAGGCATTGTGCTAGGTACTCCACAATAGATCTTATTTAATCTCATGACAAGCTGTGATTAGAAAACTGTGGATCAGAGAGGTTAAAAAAGCAGCCCAAGTTCATGAAGGTAGATAGTGGTGGGTTTAGGATTTGAGGTGGGGTTTGTCTATCCTGAGGAACTCAAGCTCTTACCCCCTCAGCCAGTGTTTTTCAAAATAAAGTCTGTGGTTCACCTGTATCAGAATCCTGGGAGATGTCCAAAATGCAGATTCCTGGACCCCAACCCTGACCGCTTTGACCAGAATCTTTTGGTTGCATTTTTACCAAGCTCCCCCAGCATCCAAGTTTGATGCCCCTGGTCTGAGTTACATCTTAGTCTAACTAAAATGGGAGCAATGGAGTTTCGATGTAGGTTTTGTAAATGGCTAAGCTGCCTTTTTTCACATTCCAGTGCAAGTGGCAATGTATTTTAATGACTACTGAGCAAGTATATTAAAACTGAAATTGCACAATTGCACATAGTGCTTAAATCTCTGTGAAGACACATGAGCTTTGAAACCTTGAGATAGTACTAAGTGCTTGACCATCTTCATCTTTCCTCCATCTTCCCTTAGTACAGGCAAGTATTGAGGAAGCATAATGTCAATCCATTTTTTTTTAAATATTTTTTTTTAAAGATTTTATTTATTTATTTGAGAGAGAGAATGAGAGACAGAGAGCATGAGAGGGAGGAGGGTCAGAGGGAGAAGCAGGCTCCCCGCCGAGCAGGGAGCCCGATGCGGAACTCGATCCAGAGACTCCAGGATCATGACCTGAGCCGAAGGCAGTCGCTTAACCAACTGAGCCACCCAGGCGCCCCCTTTTTTTTTTTTTTTAATATTTTTTTAAAAATTTTTAAAAGATTTTATTTATTTATTTGAGAGAGAGAGAATGAGAGACAGAGAGCAATGTGAATCCATTTTTTTTTTTAAAGATTTTATTTATTTATTTGACAGAAAGAGAGGCAGCGAGAGAGGGAACACAAGCAAGGGGAGTGTGAGAGGGAGAAGCAGGCTTCCCGCGGAGCAGGGAGCCCGACGCGGGGCTCGATCCCAGGACCCCGGGATCACGACCTGAGCCGAAGGCAGACGCTTAACGACTGAGCCACCCAGGCGCCCCAGTGTCAATCCATTTTTAACATCTTCTCTCTCTTCAGTCTCCTCTGGTATTCTCAGCTCTAC